AGAGGAAGAAGACCTGATCGATGGCTTCGCCATCGCCAGCTTCGCCAGCCTCGAGGCCTTGCAGGTGGGGCCGGAGGGCCATAGGGGCCCTTGGGGGCTCGAGAGGGACAGACACGGATAGGGTGCCTTGGGGGGGTTGGCACCCCAAACCAGAGCAACCGGCTCCTCTGGCCAGGCCTCTGCCCCACCCTGGGGTTGGAGGAGGTAGAGCTGGTCTCCGGGGACCAGCCAGGTTACCCGGCCTGCGAGGCTCTTTGGTAGCCTGGTCACCCCAGAGAGGTGGGGAGCTTTCTTTTTTCCACCCAGTTCAGTCCCACCTCCTCCACAGAAGGATGCATCTCTTCAGCCCCCAGAGCGACTAGAACATCGGCTGAAGCATTCTGGGAAACGGAAGAGGGGGGGCTCCAGTGGGGCCACCGGGGAGCCCGGGGACAGCTCTGATCGGGAACCTGGCCGGCCCCCTGGGGATCGGCCTCGAAAATGGCCCAATAAGCGGAGGAGGAAAGAGGTGAGCTTGTCCTCAGATCTCACCTTGTAAAGCTCTTCGGATGGAGTGGCCGTCTGTGGACCCATTTTCTGTCGGGAGTGCCACTGCCCACCCCTCCTAAATGCTGACCCTAGTCTGAAGGGCAAGGAGGAAGGCAAAGCGCACCTGAGCCTCCCTGGCCCCAGTGCCTGTCTGAGGAGGACTTGTCCACAGTGAGACTCACTTGCGTTTGCTGCCTGTACATCTACTACAGAAGTGTTGGTGATTCAGAATTATTTAGTTGAATTGTAAGTTAATTGGATGTGGTCTCTGCCCTTCCCTTGAGGTGGTGACAGTCTTAACAGGAAAGAGACAGTCGACAAGAAAACACCTAGACCACAGCTTGTAAAGCTACCCCAGGCAGAGATCTGGGAGAGGTGTTGCAGAAACCCCCATGAGGAAGCCACTCTTCTGCCTGGGGGATGGGAGGAGAGTTGTGGTTAGGGAAAGCCCCCTAGGATGTCTTAGTCAGGCCCTGAAGTGTAGTCAGGCGTTTGCTAAGAGAAGAAATGGAGAAAAGTTGTTTAGGGTAAAAGCACAGATGTGAGAACCAACCTGGTCTGTTCAGAAAATGGCAAGAGCATTGGGAATGGGGGTGGGTAGTAGCCTGAGAAGACTGAAAGGGGATGAGACCTTGACTGCCTGGGAGTTGAAACTCACTTGTCTGGCCAGTCGGCTCCACTCACCTCTGGACTCTGGTCCTTCTCAGGCCTTCTCCCGGCACTCTCTGGAAGCTGGATACATAGTAAGTGCCGAGCACCTGCACTGCCCTCCCCTTCCCCTTGGGCCCCACTCATCTTCCCTCTCCTGACCCCTCTCTCTCCTTTTTCCCAGTGTGATGCAGAAAGTGATCTGGATGAGAGGGTGAGTGGGGCCAGAACTCCCTGGGTGGGCGGTGCCACAGCTGATAAAATGGACTGTGGGTTAAAGGCATCTGCCTGCAGCAGACACCTCCTTTTGAGTGGGGAACATGGGTTAGGTTGAGCCAGGATTAGGTGTGAGGGAGGAAGTGGGGATTAGGCGTGTAAATGGCTTTTTATACTGTGACTAGGGCTACTGCCCAGAAAATAGAAGGCCTCCTCTTGGTGCACCTTCCTCTCCAAAGTTCTGGGCTACCACTGGTCCCCCATAGAAATCCAGAGTGACTGTGGAACTAAGATGGTCCTTCCTGCTCTCCACTGGTCTGCTTTTATAGTTAGGGACTCATGTATGAGAATCTGGCACAGTGATGCTCGTGAGGACATGAAACCATCGTAGTTACTCTAGAAACCCTAGAATATAAAGGTGTATTTTATTTAGTTTGTTATTAGGACTGATTTGCTTGTTTTGAATTCATGCATTCTGGCAAGTAATGCTCTGCCCACTGACCCCTGTAAATTACTGGATTTCGATTCCCTTTATGTGTCTTACTTTCTCTCAAATGTTGGCTGGGTAGGAACAACCCAGAGAGTTGTTTTCCATCTAAAGGGGTGACTGTTGGACCGGGGATTTAGCTCACTGGTGCCGTTGCCTGCCTTGTAAGAGCAAGGACCGGAGTTCAATCCCCGGTACCAAAAAATAAATAAATAAAAATAAAGGGATGACTGTTGTCTAGTTCTAGCTGACTGATTGTTGCCACATGAGAATGGGGGTCCAGTCTCAAGAGAACCTCAAGTCTGGGTGGTTTTGTTTTTTTCCGGTACTGGGGATTGAACTCAGTGCATTTGTGAGGCAGGTGCGGTGCCACTGAGCTAAATCCCCAGCCCTCGGGTCTGAGTTTTAATGAAGAATCTCCAGGTTTCAAAACATCAGCAAAGATTTTTGCTGACGTTCTAGGACCAAACAGGTCTGTAGGCCAGGTAGGCCTATGGGGTAGCACTTAGCGATGTTCTTGTTGTGATTTGGCTGCTTCTCTGCCACTTCTGTGCTGTCTTATTTCAGTCCTCCTGGCCTAGCAGGTTCTTGGGTTCAGCTACTCTGCTCCTTTCTCCAAGTGTAGGCCGCCAAGAGCACAGTGTGGGGATCCCAGTGAAGCTGATGGATCAGCCTTGCCTTCCCCACCTCCCCAGTGGGCTCTGGAGGCTGTTGGCCATCACGCATTGGGGTCTGGCCTGCCTGTGACCTGCCCTTCTCTCTGTCCTTCTTCCCCAGGTCTCTGATGATGATCTCGACCCATCTTTTACTGTCTCAACCAGCAAAGGTAGGTAACCCAGGCTTGGGATGGAGGTAAGGGAAGGGGATGGGAGAGCCTCCACTGAGCATGTCTGCCATTCCTCCCTCCAGCCTCGGGCCCCCACGGCGCCTTCAACGGGAACTGTGAAGCAAAACTCTCCGTGGTCCCTAAAGTGTCGGGCCTGGAGCGGAGCCAGGAACAGCCCCCAGGGCCCGACCCGCTGCTAGTGCCTTTCCCCCAAAAGGAACCGCCGCCTCCACCAGCCCCTCGGCCATCGGCCTCCTGTCTCACCCCCTACACCCTTGCCGGCCACCCCTAGTCTGCCGCCCCCACCCCAGCCCCAGCTGCAGCTCCGGGTCTCGCCCTTTGGCCTCCGCACTTCTCCCTACGGCAGCAGCCTGGACCTCAGCACTGGCAGGTGAGTGGTCTGAGGTTCTCTATGATCCATAGGACCTGGTTATCTCGGTCCTGACCCCTGCACTCTGTGCCAGGACACGAGATGGTCCTTGTGAGGCATGACTCGAGGACACTGGGTGAAGTAAACTGAGAGATCCCTGCGGGACTTATCTGGGTGCTTTCTCCACACACAGAGGAATCCAGTTTGTGCTCTTTCCCAATTTAATTTACTTGTGAACACTTTGTGTAGTGGGATAGTGTTCTTTGGAACACACTTTGGGAAATTCTGACATGACTAAGACTACTGTCTTTGGTGTCAGTCAGACTTGGCTTTAAATTCTTGCTCTGCTGCTTACTTGCTGTGCGATTTTTGCACAAATCACTTAACTCCTCTGAGCCTCAATTTCCTCTTCTTTATGAAAGGAAACAGTAATAGTACCGCCATCGCAAAGCTGTGTGTGAAGGTCAATTCTGAGTGAATTCAGTGTTTCCCAAAGTATGTACCCTCATTTTTAGTGGGTGGTGGAAATGATGTCAGGTCTTACCTGAGTAAACTCTAAAAACAGTCACGAGTTAGCGGTTATGTGCTTTGGAAACATACGTGTAGGACCTCAGCTCCTTGCTTTCATGTGTTACTGCTTAGTGCGAGGGCAAAAAGATGGTTCGGTTGTGGGAATGAGTGTGTAGTCCAATGGGTGCACGGCCGTGGCACCTGGGGAGTGTGGGTGAAAGTTCCAAGCAGCTGGTGCCGGCACTGGGCTGTAGTAAGTGCTCATCAAAAGGTGCAAACCGCTGAGGCTGCTGTTACTGCTGCTATTGTCGTGTCGTCATCATCACTGTTACCATTATTGAGAAAACTAAGGCTCAGAGAGGGGCAGTGACTTGCTCGAGGTCACCCAGGGCATTCGCTGCAAGAGGGGTCTGGAATTCAGGGCTCCTGGCTCCTAGGGCGGCTGGCTGGATGCTGCTTCCATTGCCATAGGGCGGGAACCCAGGTGGCCTGTTGTAACTAAGCATCAGAGTGAGGGCCTGTCTTGTGCCTCCTTGAGGTTGACTCGGGAAAGGGAAAGTCTTATGGCTAGAGTCAGGCAGAGGCAGCCCCGGAGGAAGAAACCTAGAGAGGGAGATGGCTGCTGGGAGGCACCACAGGCCAAGGAGGGGTTCCTGAGCCCTCCCGCCCCTCACTCATCTCCCCCTTCTCTCCCCAGCTCTTCACGGCCGCCCCCCAAGGCCCTGGCCCCTCCCGTGGCTCAGCCTCCCCCCTCATCATCCTCTTCGTCCTCCTCATCTGCCTCCTCCTCGTCCACGCAGCTCACCCACCGCCCCCCGACGCCCTCACTGCCCCTGCCTTTGTCTGCCCACGGCT